GCCTGTCAAGTGGTTTGAGCCATGCTCAGAGAAAACAGTCAGCCAGTGAGGTCTTAAACACAATACGTCTTTCTGTGTCTTGCCACGGGCTGTGCAGACAGAAATGAACCAAAGTGAATCTGAAGCAGCGAATTAAACACAAAACAATATTCCCACAGTGAGTTGCAGCTTTGCGGGTTGATTTTCCAAGCAAAAAGTCAAAATGCAACACAAGGTAAAACCTTGAGAATTCAGTCATTTCTTTCCATTTTTGTCATCCGGTAGAGGTCTTGTTTTGCAATTTGATTTGTTTTTTTTATCCACATAACCACCTGTGAGTTCGGAGGGTTTTAATACAAACTCTAAAATCTAGAGGAGACAGAGAAACACAAAACCATTCGTGGAGACAAATTCAGAGCAGAAAAAGAAATATTTGGTTAACTCTGCAGTGAACGGTTGGTGGTTTTGGACCGATCCATAGCTGAAAAAAGGGGGAACAGCCACCCTTTTGTTTGTGGACAGAATAGTGCACTCTGTGGGGTCACTGTTGGGGGCTCAACATCACAGATGCAAGGTCTCACACACACACACACACACAACTCCCTGCACATGCATGCACACACAAAAACCATAACATTCCTCTGCTTGTATGAATGTTTTATTAACCATGTGAATAGGCCACAGAGTTACACCCCCACCAAGCATAACTACAGTCTCCATAGACACACACTTTCATGCTCTTTCTCACAATCAAAACAAGTGGAGTGGATGATTCTCTCATAGCAGGATTCCTGGTCCTTAAAAATTCACCAACCTGCGTCTGAATCTGAAAACAGCCCAGGAACACAAAAACACACCGAATGATCGAGTGATGTTTGGCCATGTTTTAGGATAAGAATGTCCATGTTAGAAATACTGAGGTACAAATGATCTCCTCTGAAATAATCACTGTGAATAATCGAAGGAGCTCTGAAACACTTGTTTTTTAAACACTTATACTTAGGTTGCAAAACTTACAACTTAAAATTCTTAAATGAACTTAAAAAATACTTACATGTGACTTTCTGACCTGTTCTGTGAAATAAAGTAGGTCATTTTTCATCATTTATATTTCCCCTAAGCTCCTCCCCCGACCTCTTCAGCCAAACGACTCACTTACGCAAAACTAGAGCATTGACCAAGAGAGTTGTGTACCCACAAGAGAGAGCTGTCATTCAATGAGAATGCACCCCAGTTCCCAGCATGCACCACAGGGTGACGCAGATGTCTCAGTCAGCTTAGAACATCAACTTAGCTTGAACGCTAACTCGTCGAGTTAGCGTTCAAGCTAAACGCGACCTGCATTGACATAAAAACAGTCTATAAACTTCAAACTAACAGTGGAAGAGGAGAGAAGGCAACAAAAAGGGATTAATCTTCTGTGTTTTGGAGCTAACTGATTGACGTTCAACCTTACATTACCTTAGCCTGTTGTAGCATTAGCAGGGTAGTGCTAGCATCAAGTGCCAGTTTCCTGTCAGTTTTAAATGTTTCCTTGCTAGAACACTGTTGATTTGGTTCAAATAATATTAATAATCAAAATTAATACTTTTCTGATCTCTTGGGGAATTTGTTCTCTACATCTGACCTATAGTCACCATCTGTAACGAGCAGTGGGCTGCAACTAGTATCTTGCTCAGGGATACTACAGCCCATGGCCCGCGGGATCCGGAGATCAGTCTCATCTGCATCAGATCAGAGAGCAACCACTCTCCCCGATCAGCCACCGCGGCCCGAAAACGAGTGATCAGCAGCTCCTGCAGAGCCCGGTGAAGGCTGAGGAGATAACGCAGTGATAATTGATACTTGTCCATTAGCACTACAAGGCTATTTGTGTGTGCGGTATAAGGAGTAGCTTAGGAGGAACAGGGCCAGGAGCTGGAGCCATTCATATTACAGAATCTCCTTCTCTTTTCCTCAGTGATGTCACAAAACGCACCCCAGCTTTAGCCTAAGCTAAATTAAAATATTAATACAAGATCAATACGTTTTTAGACATTTGTGCTTTCTTTCTCTAACTTTAAGCATGCCAAAATGCAATGAGAGTTTTCTGACTTCATGTCATCAATGGGCCAGTCAGTAAAGGATGACCAATGCCAATCTAATGGTGCCCACACACAAACATCTAACAGACCCCTGCTGTGGCACTCTGAAGCCCAAAAGTCTCACCCAACACCCTGCAAAAGTGTTAGCCCAGGAGAATTTCCAGAGCTATCACACAAACACACAGGCGTGTTAGTTCCTCGTGCTCCTCCACTCCTCCACAGAGCAGAATGCAGCTCCTGTTTGGTTTGGACTGCCCTATAGGGGAGCTCGGTGTTGAATAAACTATAACACAGTGTGGTCCTGTAACAGCTCGAGTGCGACAGCCGACTTCAAAGATCAGAGAGCAGAAAGCCCTTCAAGGGTGATTCAATCCTTTATTCCAGTAAGAGAAAAACATCTGATCACCTTTACACTGATTCACCGATTCAGCATAGAAATAATCAAATTTGGGGGGTGGGGGAAAAAAGCTCAAAACACTTTTTATACACTTCTAATTGTTTTTGCAGTTCTGTTTAGAGTAAACAGGACTTGATGAGTTATTGGAATAACAAATTATTTGTGAATTATTTACTTCCACATCCTGAGGAAATTTCTATCCATGCAACATTTTGGGGATTTATTTTTCACCGTCTGTCTAATTTCTCCCATTTTCCCCAGGCTGTGTCATGAAAGTAACAGGGTCTAGAGGGAAACCCAAACTTCTATCCGCTTCTAGCCGTGATCTCATTCTTTCGCACACTACCCAAAGCTCGAGAACATCAGGGTAGGAATGTAGATCGACCAGTATATCAGGAGCTTCACCTTCTGGCTCAGCTCTTTCTTCACCACAACAGATCGGTACAACACCGGTTGAAGGTCCCTGACTTCAGCTAACACCCGACACACCAGTCACCCGACCCCTTTGGCTCCTTCCACAAGTGGTGAGCTCATGGGAAGGGGGACCTACGTCTCCTGTTCAGGCTGTGCCTGGCCAGGTTCCATCACTTGCTAACATGCCCCAACATCAGGCCTGGCTCCAGAGGGGGGCCCCGGGGACCTGCATCCAGGTGAAGGGAACCCTGTTTTCATTTATATTACTCATCATGAGATCCTCTCTAAGTTTGCCACAGGTGACCCCAGAGGCGTGAAGCCTCAGACAACTTCGCTCCTAGGATCACTGGGACACTCAAACCCCTCCATCCCAGGGAGGAGCAAAACTTAGAATTCCAAGGATTTAAAACTGGACGTGTGAACATAAACTTTTGACTTTGGATGAGAAATAAACTCAACAGGGATTTTATTAACCAATAACGATGTTTTCTGGATTAATGAATAAAATTAATCCTATTACGTTTCCTATTTCATGCTTTGATTTTGTGAAGCATTATCCTCCCAAGAACTTTTTAACATTTACTCTACTTTTTAAAATCAGAGACATAATTTTAACTTTTCATCTTTGTGACACACGGTGGGTTTCTCTGTGATGCAGAAGATTTTTGTTAGAACTCTTGTACTTTTTGTTTTGTTACCTCAAATAAAAGCAAGCAGACAGTTTTGACTTTTCATTATCAGAAAATAACAGCTTACTGTTGGGCTGCTGCTTTTCAAATATAATAACTTCCAGAGATCAACAGCATATCTTTCAAAATACAGCCACAAATCCTGATTTACAGTGTGGTCATTCTGATTTTTTTTTTTTTTTTTTTGGCACGCTTAATTTGTTTTCAAAGATGACTCTCAACCAAGTGACAAAAAAAGGAATTAAAAACACACACACACAACCACAGCCATTACTCATGGTTTGTTTTTCATCACAGTATAAGTCAACATTATACGAGAAAAACCACAGAATTCATGTGTCTGTGCGTTACGAGGAAACCATAAAGCATGCTACTTCATCCAGCTATGCCACTGTCACAAAAACACACACTCACCGCAAACACACACTCTTTCAAAGACATCTTGAGAGTCGTTCAGATTTAAGACCTGTTGCTGGTGTGGGAAATGGTAGAAAGGAGTATTCTGCAGGGCCCTTGGGGGCCTGAAAAGTACTAAGTACCTCTTTCTGTGTTCCTGTAGGCATGTGTCCGTGTACAGGTGTGTGTGTGTGTGTGTGTGTGTGTGTGTGTGTGTGTGTGTGTGTGTGTGTGTGTGTGTGTGTGTGTGTGTGTGTGTGTGTGTGTGTGTGTGTGTGTGTGTGTGTGTGTTCGTGTGTGTGTGTGTGTGTGTGTGTGTGTGTGTGTGTGTGTGTGTGTGTGTGTGTGTGTGTGTGTGTGTGTGTGTGTGTGTGTGTGTGTGTGTAGCAGCAGAGGGTGACCCTAGAGGCCCAGCCAGTTACAGCCTCTCTGCAGGAGACCAACCACTTTCACAAAACAAGCATTGTTGGCACTGAACCTCAGACAACCATGAGAAACACTGTATGCACACAAACACACACACACACCATGGATAAAACAGTGGTGAGTTTGAAACCCGTGTCCCGTTTGTAGGGATTGAAGTCAGTGGGTGCCTCATGGAGTCTCACAGCCTTTCAGTCTCCTACTGGACAGACTGCAGCACTAACAATAGCCCTTGGGTGGTTGGCCATACTATTATTTTAGGTGTTTCTACGCTAACTACGTGTGACCGAGCGTGTGTCAGAAACAGTTACTGGAAATGATGTGGTGAACTGGAAAATGTGAGATAGAATTACATTTCCCTCAGAGAAAACACACACAATCTGTTGAGTTTTGTCTGGACAAAAAGACTCCAAGAGATCAGTCTCCTTGGTCCATCCAAAACAATGAGTAAAGCATCAGAGAGAGCGAGAGAGAGAGAGAGAGAGAGAGAGAGAGAGAGAGAGAGAGAGAGAGAGAGAGAGAGAGAGAGAGAGAGAGAGAGAGAGAGAGAGAGAGAGAGAGAGAGAGAGAGAGGCGGGTCAGCTTCATGACCTCCACTTCAGTACTGAGCTCTGCACAGACCCTGTTGGCTGACTGGATTGTGCGTCAGCGCCTCTCACCCCTCCACTAGAACCCCTCAAGCCTCTGGCGGTCACACAAGTGTGGAAGTAGCTGCCTAACTGTTGCCCGGACCAGCCCACTCAGCATCCAGGTCCCTCACGCACAGACAGAGAGGAGGGAGAGTGTGCAGGACCAGAGTGGTGGGGCATTCACGCAAAAGCCCCCTCAAGACAGGATTTCTTTTGGCGTTCTTTTTGGATCATTTGGACCTTTTTTCCACCCCCTTTTTGGAAATTTATCCTGAAATCATCTCATTAATTCACTGACATATTTCAATATGATTTGGCCACACCTGTTCCTGGCTGCTGCGTTGCTCACCGCGGACAGCAGTTCCCTCCGACTTCCAGCTGACCTGGAGGAGGACGTGGTCTCCCAGCACATGTACAGACTGTACGAGAAATACAACAGAGGAAACCACCTGAAAGAAGGAAACACGATCAGGAGTTTCAGAGCCAGCCAAGGTGTGTGAATGACCCACAACAAACTATGCACACACGCAGATGTCATCGTAAAGTCCAGAATAGTTTCAGACACCGAAGTAGAAGTGCAAACAGACATGTCCTCTAATTCTCTCTTCATGGATGTTGTCGAGCACTTGGTGGCGCGGCACCGCTCATCCTGGTGCTCCAAATAGGTTGGATTGTTCCAGAGCAGTCTGAGAATGTATTCAGATGGTTTTAGGGCGCTGGGGGGTTTGCTGGGGATCTGAAAGCTGCGGCGCCACATGCACGCAAAGACTGATCCATTACCTCAGACCGACGTGCAAGAATGCGTGTGACTCCCCAGGCGAGCCATGCGCAGTAAAATACATCTCAGTAACAAACTCTGGCACTGTGCAGGGTCATGGTCGTGGCTTCTGTGTTCTGCTTTGGCCCTAAAGGGGTATGCATGACTCCAGGTGCTGTAATTCCTCCCTGTCTGATGCTGTTTTTATTAACACAACTCACAGACGTGTGTAGTTCTCAGATATCGTAGCACGTGAGTGTTTTCACTGTGAAGGCTTGATGTAATCCAAGGATTGGTGCAAGAAAGTCCTGAAATAGTTGATTGTGTCTGTTGGAGCAGAAGGTTCAGGCTGGGTGAAGCTCAAAGGGAAACTAAGAGAGGGTGGGGTAAACATTTCCATGTGCAGGCTGAATTGGAGGTAACGCATATCTCCTGAGTCAGTCTATACTTCCGCTGAGCTCCTACACAATGAACAATAACTCTGCTGTTGAAGTTAATGTTGATCATGAATATGCAGCCCTCTGCTCCCCCTTCTTCCCTCTGAATCCACCACCCACAACACGCCAGACAGGAACCAGAGTCTGGTTCCTCTTAAGGGCACCTTCTGAGATCCTGCTGCAGCTCCAGCTGCAGCACAAGGAGAAGTATTGAAAAGTCCCATTTTTCAGGAGAGTTTAATCACAGATAAGTGCTTTTGGCCCAATATTCAACCCCCTTTTAAACATTTCCTTTATTTTAGAATTTCTATCTGAAATTACCGGTAAGAAGCGTGAAGCTGAAAGCTCCAGCAGCTGAGTTTAGTGAAGGTTCAGATCCTGGTCGCTACAGCGTGTGCTGGAAAACGTTTCTGTTTTCTAATGGCTGACACGCTTTGTGGCTCAAGCAAAACAACTACTGGATAATCCTGGCCTCATTTAGATTCCTTTTGGATGCAAAACTGCTCAACTATTTCCACATGAACCTTTGAAATTAAATAAAAACACACATTAATGGTTAAAAACCAGAGTTTATTGTTGTTGTGTTCACCTGTCTGAGTGACTGTTTGTCTCTCTGCAGGCCCTGCTGACCTCAGGACGACATACCAACTCAACCTGACAACCCTCCAGGACTCAGAGGTCATTCTTTCTGCCACATTCCACTTCCTGCTTGAAAAACACACTCATCCAAAAAAGTGGTTCTGCAAACGCGTCAAGAGCCCATCGTGCCGCTCTGCAGCTGTGCACCCTTCTCCGTCCGTCAGCTTGCTGCTTCGCTCTGTCTCCTCTGAGCCAGAGATCAGATCTGGGTCAGTGGGGTCACTTCTAGGTAACGTGACTTTCCACCCCCACAGGAGAGGGGTGTGGCAGATGAAAGACGTGACCCAGGTCATTAAGGAAGCACAACACAGAGGTCAGCTGCTAGTGTCAGTTGAAATAGAGCAACAGCCCCACAGAAAACCAGAGGAGGTTGTCTCTGGCGGTAGCATGCCCTACGTGCTAATGTACGCTAACGACCAAGCCTTAGCAGAACCCAACAGCGTGACAGCGAGCCTGCAGAGATACGACCCATTCAACGAGGGGCCAAACTCCTCCGCAAAGTTGAAAGGACGCGTGAGGAGGGACGCAAATGTGCTTTCTGACGCCATTCAGAACAACGAGCTTCCCGAGGTGGAGTTCAAGCCCAGTGAGTACAGGAAGGAGGACCTATGGGAGAGCGACTGGTACCTCTCACTCAAACCCAAACTCAAATCAGAGCAGAAGGAAAAGAGGAGGAAGAACCACGAGGATGGTGCATCCAAAGTAGTCCATCAGGAAGCAGAAGAAGCACCGCAGCTGATCAAAAATGAGGATTTAACTGCTACAAACTTTAAAGAGAGCCACACACTCGCCACGCAAAAGAATGAGCAGAAAAATGAGCGAAAGGAAGGAAAGAAGCACAAAGAGGGCGACGACACTCGGTCAGCGGTTCTGAGCTTCGATGAGCAAACGATGCGTAAGGCCAGGAGGAGGCAGTGGGGCCACAGCCAGGACAGGCGCTGCTCCAGGAGGAACCTCAGAGTGGATTTTGCAGATATCGGTTGGAGTGATTGGGTCATAGCTCCCAAAGCTTTTGATGCCTACTTCTGTTCTGGCACATGTGGATTCCCAATGCCACAGGTGGGAGCATTACTGTCATTTATGCGTATTATTATCAACCAGATCCAGACGTTCATCCTGACTTTCAACAATGTATTAATCCCACGCCTCTTCCTCCTGAACCCTTCCAGGTACTGCGGCCGTCTAACCACGCCACCATCCAGAGCATAGTACGGGCCGTCGGCATCATCCCGGGCATTCCTGAGCCCTGCTGCGTCCCAGAAAATATGAGCTCTCTGGCTGTCCTCTTCCAGGATGAATCCAGGAATCCGGTGCTCAAGGTTTACCCCAACATGTCCGTCCAGTCTTGCTCCTGCAGATAGGAAGCTGGCGAGGGACAAAATGGACCTGAAAACGAGACTAAAGAAGACGCAACATTTGTTCTGTGTTTTGTCAAATTCTGCTCAGAAATGTTCCTTAGGGAACGTGGGCTGAAGAGAACTCCCTTTTGTCTCTGATGTCCTTCAGTGGGCTTAAAAGAGACAAATTGTCTCTGCTGGGAGAACAGAAAGACAGCTTTAAGCTTGTCTAAGAAGCCCAGTTTGTGTTGCATCAGTAGAGGAAAAATAGCATTAATGGGATGTGTTGTTATTAATATTTTATTTTATTTTATTGACAGGAAGTTCAAAGCTCACAGTGAGTTCATAATTATGTTTTCTTTGAATACAAAGACTGTAAATTAAAATAAACTTAAAATGTGTTATTGCAGCTCAGACAGCAGCCAAGGAGAACGTGCAAGAGACTTTTCTTTCCTGTTCAGTTAGTTCATCCTATATGCAATGTTCCTTTATTATCAAGACACGAAAGTGAAACTGAATTTTTTTTATGCTTCTTTTATTTAAAAATAATTAAAAATGAAGTTTAAGAGCAACTGGAATTCAGAGTTCTTTTCTTTTTTTTGTAGTGTAAGAATAAAAACTAACTATTTTTCTATTTTAACATGAAATGTGGTTAAAGATAATTATAACAGGGCTACGTATCACTGTATGTAGATGAGACTATATTTTGTACATGTGACTTGTTTAAATTATGAAAATTTTGCTTTCAAGTTTAAATGAAAATAAAACGTAAAATCTTAAATTGTTGCTTTAAACAGTTTTTTCTTGGAAATTAGAGTTTGCTGTGGTTAAAATAATAAGTCAAAAGTAATCAAAAAGGAGCAACACTGCTTTAATGGATGGTAAAAGGAAGGACGGCGTAACATAAGAGGCATAAGCTGAAGTTTTACAAGTAAATGTTTGTTTATCAGAGGTGGAAAGAGTACTAAATGTCCTACTTAAGTACGTGTACCAATACTTTGATAATTTTTTACTCAAGTACAAGTAAAAGTACTTGCCTAAATTTTTACTCAAGTAAAAGTAAAAAGTATTGTGAATAAAATGTTCTCAAAGTAAAAGTTACTTAGTTACATTTTTGTCAGCGTAAAGATGGCTACATCAGTGCAAAATCACAACGCCAGTTCACAATTCACTCGTGTGCACGCGCACACACACACACACACACACACACACACACAGTTTGATGGAGGGATTTTTATCAGTGAGAACAGGACGTGCACATTGATTGGATGAGGTTTTCCTAGGATTGTACGTTTCAATTGTGATAAAAATTATTCTTTATTTTGAAAAAAGAAAAAAATGTTAATTTTTAGATGCCATCAGTATGTGAGGTATCTCAATGTTCTCATGACAAAACTCTAACATGAGACTGTACTCTAGCCTGTCACATAACAAGCTAAATAAAATTCAAACATTTCAGATGGACCGTATGACAGCTGCTAATGTTGGCCCTGCCCTGCTTTACCTCTACATTACAGTTCCTTTATCCATGTCCATCCTAGAGCTCCTCTCTGACCTTCATGCTTATTCAGAGCAGCTGATGTTTAAAGTTAGCAGAGTTCATCCTTGGTAGTGGGTTCACTCACTCATTTAACCCTTCACCACTGAAATCAGTTTGTTCATTCCAATCCTCCTAAATGATCCTCCAATCATCCAACTGGAATCCTTAAGGGTCCTGTAACGTCCATCCTGTCAGAATAGCGACAGGTTTGGGGAATGCATTTAACCCAAGACATGCAGAATCACACACTCACAGATCTTATGGTAAAAAAAAAAAAAAGAATCTTTATTTTAAAACGGGAACTGAAGGTGCACTGGAAAAGCCCAGTGGAGATCGAGAACGGGAGCGCAGCGGCTGAGGAGAGGAAAGCAGATACAGGTGTGTCCAGGAAGGTAAGTCTAAACTTGGTGGGTGCAGAGAATAGACTTACTGGGTGTAGGGGAGTGTAGGAATGAGGGAGGGTAGGTTGGGTGCTGAGCTGAATCCAAGTGGGGCGTCCAGGAGAGGGAGTGAGAGGAGAGCAGGAGAGCAGGGAGAGCGGGTCGGCCGGGAGGAATGGAGAACGGTGAGAGCTGCGTCCGGAAATCCTATGGGGCACAGGTGAGTAATCCTGAGGAGTCGCAGAAATCCAAAGACGTAATCCAGAGAAGTCAGAGAAGTCCAGAAATATTCCAAAAACCTGGTAACGGGTAAGCACAGGGAAAAGATCCAAAGGTTCACAAAAAAATCCTAGAAACACTAGAGCACAAAATCCAAGAGTCACAAGAGGGCAGGAAACTGCCCAGCTGTAGTAATCATCCGGCATCGAGGAGTGTTCTCCATCCTCTTTTTGTAGCCAGACTGATTGCAAATCAGCTGCAGCTGGAGCCTCCCTCTCCTGAAACACACAACTCAAAGATGGGAAAATGAGAGGAGTCCTCACCCCGGCACATGACAAATAGGCCTTGGGAGCCCAGGTGTTACTAGAACTAATGGTGTCTCCTCACCAGCGTGAGCCTCCAAACGGTGAAGATTGGTCTCCAAACGTGAACTTTAAATGTATGCATTTATCTCCTCTTGTAACACTTTAACATGTTTTAAAGGCTTGTATCATGATATGTTACACCTCCCAGACCAAAGATTAGATAAAACATTATCGTAGACACTAGTGAGATGTCATTATTTATGAAATATAAGTTATTTTCCTGAGCCATTACTTCAGCCAAGATATAGGATGCATGGATTTGATGAAACCATGCTGTCTCATGCAGTCCTATGTGTGTAACACACACACACACACACACACACACACACACACACACACACACACACACACACTGCAGCATGTTAGAATCATGTGAATGACTAATTTAACTACATTGAACTGTTTTTGTAATAATTTAATCTCTTATTCTGGAGTAAAATAAAGAAACAAGCTAAATCATCACATATCTGTGGCATCAAGGAGCATCTTCTGAGTTCAAACACAGGGATGGAGCACAATGTTTACACCTGAACAGTATCAGGATGTTTTATCTCACAGAGGCCTGCAGGTCTTCTGTTTTATGAGCAAAGCGCTGAGAATCCGCTTGTTATGAGCGCTAAACGTTGCCGCTTCCGTGCGGAGCAGGAGGGAAACACATTTCAAACACGGAACCGAGTCCGGCCACCGAACAGAGAAGAATTCTGAATTCTGATGGCGCGAAGTTGCGGGTTCCAACCCACGAGAGGAGGGAGAGAGGAGGTAAACAGTGAGTGGATCACAGGGACTGAACTGATGTTTTTGAGCAAAAGGTGTAGACCCATGCTCCCACGGTTTTGATGCAGCGCTCATGCAGGTGTCTCTCTCTGTTCCGAAGCTGCTACACGCAATATTTTTAATTTTATATATTTAATTTATTTTTACTCAGTAACTGATATGATTTAAAATGTAGAGAATTACAATCCTTTTTTTAAAAACATACTCAAGCAAAAATTAAAGTACAGCTTTTAAAAATGACTTAAAAAGTATAAATATACAAAAAAGCTACTAAATTACAGTAACATGGGTAAATGCGATTTGTTACTTTCCACCTCTGATATTCTGACACGGTGGATGTTTAGGATTATTTAGGAGGATTGGAATGAACAAACTGATTTCAGTGGTGAAGGGTTAAATGAGTGAGTGAACCTACTACCAAAGATGAACTCTGCCAACTTTAAACATCAGCTGCTCAAAATATGCATGAAAATCAGAGAGGAGCTCTAGGATGGACATGAATAAAGGAACTGTAATGTAGCGGTAGCCTAAAGTAGGGCAGGGCCAACGTTAGCAGCTGTCATACGGTCCATCTGAAATGTTTGACTTTCATTTGGCTTGTTATGTTATGTGTGACAGGTTAGATAGAGTAGAGCACAGTCTCATGTTAGAGTTCTGTCATGAAAACATTGAGACACCTCACATGCTGATGGCATCTAAAAAAAAATTTTTTTCTCAAAATAAAGAATAATTCAAAACTGAAACCTACAACCGTAGAAAAACCTCGTCCAATCAATGTGCACGTCCTGTTCTCACTGATTGGATAGAGATCGCTCCATCAAACTCTGTGTGTGTGTGTGTGTGCGTGCGTGCGTGCGTGTGTGTGTGTGTGTGTGTGTGTGCGCACACACTCGAGCGAATTGTGAACTGGCGTTGTGATTTTGCACTACTTAGTTGTAGCCATCCTCATGCTGACAAAAATGTAACTAAGTAACTTTTACTTTGAGTACATTTTATTTGCGATACTTTTTACTTTTACTTAAGTAAAAATTAGGCAAGTACTTTTACTTATACTTGAGTAAAAAATTATCAAAGTATTGGTACTCGTACTTAAGTAGGACATTTTAGTACTCTTTCCATCCCTGGTGAAATGTTTGTAAATACTCGAGTTAATTGTTTATCAGCAGTCTTAAGGAACTCAATGTATACATTTATTGGTCGACTGGATAGCTCTGACAATGTGATTATTATGAACTTGTCTAATGTAAGGCTCAGTGATGTCCGGTGTTGGTCCCGAATAAGGCAGCACTGGTGCTCTTGTATTTTGTGGTAGTGTATTCTTTTTTATTGTGTATCTTATGACAACCAACTTTTATTATTTGTAGGTGCTATTGCTGTTTTAATTGTGTGTTTGTTTTTATTGAATTTCGTGCCTGTATTAAAGTTTCTATCTATGTAAAACATGCAGGAAACCAGGACCGGACCAGCACTCTGAGGCTCTGTCCACACGTAGCCGGGGATCTGCCAAAACGTAGATATTTTTCTACGTTTTGGCCTGTCATCCACACGAAAATTGAGTTTTTTCACACAAAAACTGATCTTTTTAAAAACTCCGGCCAAAGTGAAGATCTGCGTTTTCTCCGTTTTGGGTGTCTGCGTGTGGACAGACAAAACCGGAGTTTTAAGGTCCGCAACGTCACTTTCCGTGACAAAAAAATGCTGACATCACGTGTGCGACCTGTGTTTACACTAGCCGACAGCATGGATGCCCTCAGAGCTGCGCTCGCTTTATCAATTGTCCAAGCGCTTTTTGCTTGTTTGTTTTTGCAAGCGGAATTACTGCTCCTTGCAGAAGACCACAGACGAAGGACGAGGTTAAGAACGGGGGAAGTACTGCCGCCTACAGGTCTGGCATGTCCTTAACAACGTTTTTATCCGGGTACGTGTGGACAGAGTTTGTTTTTAAATGAGGTGGTGTGGATGCAAGTTTTTGGAGGGGCGGATATTCGTTTTTAAAAAAACCCGGCTACGTGTGGACTAGGCCTGAATTTGCAAGTATGATATTCTGGCCACAGAGGGTGGTGGGGGTCTGTCTAACATTTCATTAACCCTATAAAGGTCCATTTAAGCAAATACTGGCTCAAGAAAATTATTTTAAAATATGAAATAGTTACTTAATGTGCCTTTGAAGGGGATATTTTATGCTAAACTTACTTTTTGCCTTCTTTTGTGCTGCCATGTGGGTCTCTACTGCCTCTATAAACACTCCAAATGTTACCTGTTCATCTTTGTTTGATTTTAATAATTATATGTATAAAACAAGCCATTTCAAAAAGTCCCTGTTTGTGACATCAACAAAAGAACCACCTCTCATGTGTAAGAGAGAGCTGCTGCTGGAGGAGCAATGGCTCTACTCCCAACCCTTCATAGGAGCTTCTTAGCTTATAGCAGCCTGAGTGAGGAATGGGAGGGCATAGCCTGCTACGGTTTGTTTTCTTAAGGTGACAGAGCCCTAAAACAGCTC